GGGCGGGCAGGAGTCATTTCTTTTACAACTGGCTTCAGCAAGCAGCCTCAAGGCATAAAGGAAGGGGGTGGCTTCAGAGAACCAGTGAGAAAGCCCCAGGTCTGGGAATGCTCAACTTTAGCCAGTACCTAAGAAATAAGGAAAAAGTTACACGCTACATTACGGCTCAGATACGTGGGCAAGCATGGCAAGGTTCCACAGTGGTGCCTGGTGGAGGCTCTGTAAGCAGCTGTCTCGAGGGCGGGGCTTCTGGGAAGGGAAAGTGTATTATCTCGTTAAGATAATTCATCATACCCTCTGCTTAGCATGTCTCCTCCAGATGACTCAGATTTGGAGAGGTCTGGCCTCAAGCTCAAGTGATTGACAGGACCAGCTGCATTAGGGACAGGCCCAGAGGATTTTGTGTCTCCCCTAGGACCAGAAGTAGATACTTAGATTCTATTTTTTTTTCCCCAGAAGGAAGTACCTTTGCCTTAATGGGCCTCATCCTCCACCTTTTCATATGGTAATTTAAATTCTAAGGAAGGATAATATTTGATATCACCGTGGAAACAGAGGTGGGGTCTGAAGCATCCATGGCTATTTAGAACTCTCTCTGAAGCTTAAGCCTAAAACCATTTAGGATCCAATCCAGAAACCAAAGCCCTCATACCAGCAGCATTTCTTTACTCCAGCCATGACAGGATCAAACACATTTCAGGCTTCTAGCTAAGAGATGAAGCCCTATCTCCAACTGCATGCCCCAATTACACCTCTTGTCCACATCAATATGATGAAACACCATGGCCAAAGCAAGTTGAGGAAGAAAGGGGTTTGGCTCACAAGTCCACATCACTGTTCATCTGGAACTCAAAGAGGGCAGAAACCTGGAGCAGGAGCTGATGCAGAGGCCGTGGAGGAACTCCCTACTGCCCGGCTCAGCCTGCTTTCTTATAGAACCCAGGACTACAAGCCCAGCATGGCCCCATTCAACAATAGTCCAGGCCCTCTTCCATTGATCACTAATTAAGAAAATGCCATACATGATTGCCTACAGCCTGACCTTATGGAGGCATTTTCTCAATTAAGCCTGCTTCCTCTCTGATGACTATAGCTTGTGTCAAGTTAACATAAAACTAGCCAGCACAGTCTCTGTCATGGTTTGTATATGCTTGGCTCAGGGAGAAGCACTGTTAGGAGGTATGCCCTGTTGGAGTAGGTGTGTCACTATGGGTTTAAGACCCTCATCCTAGCTGCCTGGAAGTGAGTATTCAATTAGCAGCCTTCAGATGAAGATGGAGAACTCTCAGCTCCTCCTGTACCATGCCTGCCTGGGTGCTGCCATGTTCCCACCTTGATGATACTGAACTGAACCTCTGAACCTGTAAGCCAGCCCCAATTAGATGTTGTCCTTATAAGAGCTGCCTTGGTCATGGTGTCTGTTCACAGCAGTAAAACCCTAACTATGTTTTTAGAGGTGGGGTCTGAGCCTCATAGGGACAAAGTCACTTGTGCAAGTCACACAGTCTGAATGGCAAGTCGAGGCTCAACCCAAGTCTGGAATGACTCCCAGGATTATACTCCCTCTTAAATAGTTTCCTCATCTGTGCTACTGACTGGCCTACACAGGACAAGAAGCTAATAGTGATCTAATTGTGCTCATAGTGTGACAACAGCCCAAACTCACACCCCTGCAGGCCCAACTTCAGTCCTAATTTCCTCTCCTGCCACCTTGTGCAAGCTGGGCTCCTTCCCATGGGCACAATGCCTGCCATACAGAAAGCTCTTTGCAGGCACATGTTAAATGAATAAATGAACTGCTCTAGGGGAAATGTACTCATACAAATCCCGGCAGGGCCATTCACTAGCTGGATGTCATTGAGCAAGTTATTTGGCATCTCTGGACCTTGGTTTCCCTTTGTAAAATGAAGGTGATGCCAGTGCTCTCTTAGGGCTATTATGGTGTTCAAGTGAGTTTTGCAAATCATTTAGGATGCTGCCTGATGCTTCGTAAGCATTACGCCAGTATTTGTTAAGTAAGTCAGCAAGAGTGAATGAATGCCTATTGTGTATGTGGAAGTGGAGTGTTCTCACCACACACCTTGCACACATTCTTGTGCTTGTGATTTTTCTGGAGCCTCTCCTTGGCCCTGAGGGGGGCTCTACACACCTTGAGCAGTGGATGGTCTTCTGCACAGAGAAATGAGTTGGCCCAGCAGGGGTCTGCAAGTCACGTCACTGCCAGCTTCACTGTGTCCGAGTCTCCCACCTCCTGCAAGTGGATAGACATCCTTAAGCCAGAAATGAACAAGTGTATGAAGGAGCTGCCAAGCTCCAACCTCTGCAAACATCCTGACTCATAGCTGTGAGCCATGATCCCCTCCACCCAACCCCAGGCACGCTCTCCTGGCTACACAGAAAGAGAGAGAGAGAGAGAGAGAGAGAGGCAGAGAGACAGAGAGAAAGACAGACAGAGACAGACAGAGAGCAAAAGTGAGAGTGTATGCACATGTGAATCACTGAGGTTCTGGAGCAGGAAGCACAACATCCACCCAAGACCACAGGACCACAAGAAAGAACTAGACGGTAAATGAACACTGAATACTGGTCAACCACATACACATACCACCCACTCTCTGAAACAGACTGGATATGTGTGTACCTCAGAACCCCGGAACTTGGAGCCCTCCCCCATGCCACCTTCTGGATAGCACACAGGAGTGACCTCACAGCTCTGCCCCATTCCATCCACCCCATAAATACCGAGTTGGCATCGCTAGCCAGCTGATAGGCAGCCCTTTGAGACCAATATCAGTCCTCTCCACGATCTGGCAGACCGTGGGGTGTGCATCGAGAACAGATGAGGAAGGATGGGGGAGGAGTGTGAGGATTGACTTGCAAGAACTGGCCAGTCTCAATCCTAGGAGGGTCCCAGCTCCCAGGTGTGCCCAACCCTCACCTTCTCTTCTCCCACCGCCCTTAAATCCACCTGACCCCTCGGCACTCACCTTCCACCTCCCTTCACAGTTGTCACTCCCTCTCAGCTCTCATCCCAGCCTTTAAGGTCTCTTTCACTCTCCTGCCATACAAGATCACGCCCAACTATGCTTCTATCACAGTATGGCCCTGCCAATGTTGTTTCAATTCCTTGGGCCATAGTTTTTCTATAGCACAGTGAAAGTGTCTGGGAAGGATTTAATGTAACCGTGGGTATGAAAATACTAAGCACACAGTAGATGCTCAGTTAGTACTACAAGGGCTAAGAGGCTGAGAGGAAGCATTCTAACCTCTGCTTTTCCCCTTCAAGTCTTTAAAAAGTCCTCCAAGGCCAGACAGTGGTGATGCATGCCCAGCACCTAGGAGGCAGAAGCAGGTGAGTCTCTGAGTTCAAGGCCAGCCTGATCTATGAAGCCAGTTCCATGACAGCCAGGGCTACATGGAGAAACCTTGTTTCAAAAAAAAAAAAAAGTAAATTGAAAGTCCCCCAGACAAACTTGTACCTAGAACCCCAGAATTTGACAGGAAGATGGAGGTGGATCCCTGTGAGTTCCAGGTTAGCCAGAGTTACACAGTGAGACTCTGTTGCAAAAAGGAAGAGGAGAAGGAAGAATGTGTGTGCATATATTTGTTTTGTTTGCATGTGTGAGGGTAAATGTTTGCACATGTGCACACATATGTAATCATTTGTGTATGTGATCTGTGTGTGCATATGTATGTATATGTTTGTATATGGATGTCTGCACATGTACAAGGCATTGCATGTGTGTTTATGCTTACATGTAGGCATACATGTGCAGATCCACACACGTTTAGTTTATGTACATGTCTGCTTACATGTGTGTATTCATGTATGTGTTTTGTGCCTCTGTGTGTATATGTATTGGGCGAGTATGTCTTCATATCTATACATGCATCACATTTAGCATGTCCCCGTGTGTACTTGTGTAAGCATGTATTTGTGAATGTGTGCACATTCCTGTTTGAATGCACCTACAAATGTGTATGTTCATGTGTGTGAGCCTATATTTTTGTGTATTTGTGCATTTGCATATATATGTGTACATGCATTTACCTGTGTTTATGTGCTTATGTGTGTTTTTATGTATTAATGTATGTATGTATGTATGTATGTATGTATGTATGTGTTTCCATGTGACTTTACCTGTGTGCATATGGGGTATTTTATCTGTGTGCATGTGCACAAGTGTGCAAACATTTGTCTACTCATGTAAACACAAGCATGACATTATTTGAGTGTGTGTGTGTGTGTGTGTGTGTGTGAGAGAGAGAGAGAGAGAGAGAGATAGAGAGAGAGAAAGGGAGAGAGAGACCTGGAAAAATACTAGGATGTGGTTTCTCATTACTTCCAATACTATGGCATGCTCCGTCTTCAGATCTGGAATCTTCATCTCCACAGGTGAATTCTACCAGGGCCCAGCCCGGGACCTTGAGAGCAGAGTCTGCTTTCGACTGCAGGAGCCACATGCTCTGCCACATGCACCTCATTCTACTGTCCCTCCCTCTTGTCATTATCCCTCCATTCTGTGCCCCACCCCCATCCTGTCTGTGGGTAGCCTTGCCTCTTCATCTCTGCCCTGACTTGACCTCTCTGGTGATCTCTGTGTTCCATGTGTCTCTCAGGTTCTATCTCTTCCCCTCCGCCTGTGTCTGTCAGTGTTGCTGGCCAGACTTGCTTCGTGTTACACACCTCCCTGCGGAGGATTCTAATCAAAGATGCCTCCTTCCTTCCAACACCAACCTCCACCCCTTCCCACTCCTTCCTCCCCCCCCCCCCACTACACCCCTGCCAGGAAAACTCTGTTTTCTAAGCCCTTTGAGGCTGCAGGAGTGTGCCTAAAGTACTAAACTCTGGAGCTAAAGCATCCCTCCCTCCTGGTCAGGTGATCAGGACCACACACAGCACTGGGGACAGACTAGGAGGGGCCAACAGGACCAACAGGAGTCAGACTCTAAACTCAGAGGAAGGAGATTCGGGTACAGGAAACTCTGAGAAGGGGCAGAGAGCTCACCCACAAAAGCCACATGACTGACAGTGTCCATAGGGGGCAAGGCCACCAGAAGGAGTCTGGTTGTCACTTTGGTGGGTTATTGTCATCCAGTGCTAATTTAGCCTTCTCCCAACTCCAAGGGGAGCCTAGACACAAGAAGGAACATCCCTGGCCCAAGGCAGAAGAGAAAACCAAGCTAAGGGTTTCACCACCACCACCACCACCACCACCGGCACACACACACACACACACACACACACACACAAGGCTACAGCATAGTTTACCACACTGAATTCAGAATTCTGCCACAGAGCCCTTGGTCACAGTTCCCTGCCCAGCCAGATACACCCCTCAAGGCTGCCTCAGGCAGACCAAAAGCTCTGGGCTGAGAGCCAGGGCTGCATTCCTGCTGCCCCACCCACCCTCAGCCTCCTGGGCAGTCCAGGTTCCAACCAGAACCCATGTTCCCCCAGAAAAGGAAAAGAACAGAGCCAAGGTAGAGGAAGGACCCTTCGTGCTATGCCACCCTGACCATGTCACCACATCAGTGCTCTGGAGGTGGCTCCTTGACACGGCCTGGGCCTTCCTTGGAACTCGAGGATATCTGAAAATAGAAAAAGAGAAGAGAAAGCTGTGGTCGGTGTGGCGGGCAGAGGAGAAGCTGGGTGGGGGTGTGGTGAGCCTGTGGACAGAGGACTCTTGAACACATCAAACCTGACCTCCAGGCTCCCCCCACCTGCTCTGTACCCCTTGAGTCTCTCTGCAGTCACCCACCTATACCTCTATTCAACAGAGTAGGAGACTGAGCCGTCTCCCCATCTCCACCACAGGAAAGGTTGACCAAGAACTCATTACTGAGCTGAGCCCAGAGCTCCTGGCCCCCAGAACTCTCCCAGTAGGCTCTCAGGATAGTCTGTTTGAGGCCTAGATTTCTGCTTACCTGCCCTGAGGGTCAAATTCAGGTGGCCCACTCCAAACCCTGGAGTGTCTTCACTCTCAGAGCCAGAGTTCAGCCTGTGCCTGGAAACCCTGAATCCTGGCTCCCTCCCAGGGGCTTCCTCCCTCCTCCCTCTGCTCTCTGAATGACCTCTACCCAGGCAAATCTTCCTTCCTCTTTTTCAGGCCCTCTCTCCCCACCCAAGCCTGGGCTCAACAGGGATGGGGATAGACATGAACGGAGATACCGGCCCTAAGCCCCAGCCTCCCAAACAGCAGTGTGCGGACCTCAAACGGCATTTGGCAGAAGGATAGGTCTACCCTGTGTGCAGCCTCCTCCCCTCCCCTCCACCTCATGGCAGATGGGGGGCTAGCCTGTGTGCTAGCTCCTCCCCCTGAGGCAGATGGGGGGCTACCCTGTGTGCTGGCTCCTACCGCCTCCTCTGGCAGATGAGTTGGGGCTATCCTGTACACCATCCTCCCCTCCCCAGGACACAGCCTTCTCCTAGGAAGGCCCTGGGGCATGTGAAAATTGAATCTAATTTTCTAATCTCCAGTACATTGCTTCCTGTCTTCCTGTGCCTCCCTGCCCTTTAGAAACAGGCAGACTGCCACCAAGCCCCTTTCAAGAGGCCATTCAGGAGCCAGAGACCTGCCTGGCTCTTCCTGTGTGCCCGTGGGAGATTCACCTGTGAATGTCTCTAACTCGGAGGTAATTAGGCACACAAGGGTCTAAATGAGAAAAAATGCAGGCTTGGCCTGAAGCTGGCGCACAGCTACCAGCTGAGGTAACAGGATCTTGGTTAGACCTGTGCCTTCTGCATTCAGATTCTTTCTCCAGATCTGGTTTTCAAGCTCCATTCTGTAGTTACGAATTAAAAATTAACTTAATAACTGGCTGCCTAGTGCTTGCTCTGTCTGAGTACCAGGATAGGAAATAACAGGATAGACACCCTCTTGCCCCGCACAGGGGAAGATGGGCACAGACAACTGACAAGGCTGTGGTGATGATATAAGAGGCAGAAACATACACGAAAGGCACCTAATGCACTTTCCAGAGAAAACAGCATGTGTAAAGGCCCGGGGGTTGGCGGAGGGGCCTCCAGGAAGCAGATGGGAACTGTGTGCTAATGGCTAAGACTCTGCGAATGCGTACAGGCCGCATGACGTCCTACATGCGTCTGTTTCGTTATGGACTTGGCTTCACCCTGGGCTTCTGGGAAGTTCTCTGGACCTTCTGAATGCTGTGTCTCCTTGGGGCAGACTAGATACTCTCACAGATGTGACTCAGGGTGGGCTGACCACACTTGCATTGTCTTAGGGTGGGGGACTGGCCGTGGGAGAAACCAAGCACTTAGCTTAAGTCATGGGACTTTGGATCAGGCAACATCCATCAGCCTGGAGACAGAGACCGAATGTGGGGATACTAACTGGCCCCTCAGTGACGCCATGCAAATCATCTCTGAACATGGAAGTGGGAGTGAACTTGACCTCCTGGCCACACTCCATGCATAACACCACACTTTCTCAGCACATCCAGACAGACAGAAAGTAACACAGGGCTCTGTCTTCTCCTTCGGCCACCCTTCACATGCACCCTCCCTGGAACCGACCATAACCTGAGTACATCGGCTCCTGGGGGAGTTCTGTGAGTCTTCCTAGAAAATTCTGAAATCTGAGAATGGTCAAGGAACCCCTCACCTTGCAGGTGGGGTGCCACAAGTGAAGATAGCCTTGCCTGGGCATGACTCCTCTAACCTTATAGATGAGCCCAACTCAGCCAAACTTATTAGATGGAACTTCTTCTCACCTTAAAGATAACCCCCTGAAGGAGACACGATTATTTTTGCTTTCTAGATTAGGACACTGAGTCAAGCAACCTGACTGAGGTCACAGGGGCATCTAGTAACAAAAGTGGGCTCTGAAAGTAGGAGCCAGGCACTGGAACACGGGCCTGGACCACTGTGAGGCACTGCCCAGCCAGGGCTGGCTGCAGGGAGCAGGGGAAGATGGGACTGGAGCTGAGCTGGACTTCAAAAATAGATAGCAGGAGATGCATTCCATGGCTGCCTAATGGGTCTGAGGTCCCAAAAATTAACCACACAATCCCAAGTATTTCAGCAGGGCAATAAGTTTGATTTATGCAGAGGCTGCACAGCCATACCAAATCCAGTGGAGAGTACATCCAGTGTGAGTCCTGCAGGGTTTTCACTGCTGGAGCAAATGGGTCCTGTGCACCAGGGTTCCACCTCACATCTTTACATGACGGCGCATTTAAAGTGTCACTGCTGATAATCAGGATGTGATTTTGAGCATCTGTACACATATTTTTGATTTCAAAAAGTGCTGACCTTAGAGCTAGAGACATGGCTTCCAGAATCTTCACAGAGAGACCCAACCACCTGAAACTCCAGTTCTAAGGGATCTGACGCCCTCTTTTGGCCTTCCTGGGCAGCAAAACACTCACACACATAACAAACAAAAATCCAAATTAAGAAAAGAAGTGCTGACATGGAAGGAATCTGACTTTCTGCCAAGTAGTTTCTTTACATTTGATTTTAAACGAAATGTGTCTTGTTTAACCCTTGGATAGAAAAGATACTGAGTTTCTTTCTTACATTTTCCACACAGGCTGGATTTGAAATGCAGAGAAAGGAATGCACTAATTATGAACTTCAGGCTTCTGCACAGACAGCCAGGGTTCTGAATTCCCACGCCTAGGAAATACAAAAAGCAAGCCACATTGCAGGATCAGTAAGTCTCAAGAGTCCTTAAAGCAGCTTTGCGCAAACCTCCCTACATAACACAGTATTCCAAAGTGACCACCAGGTGGCAGCATAGGCCATCTTTTTCATGTCTGCTCGGACAAGGCAGGCTGGAAGGAGGCTTCCTGCCGACTAGGCTGGAGGGTCTGTCTGCCCCCACCATGGTGGAATTGGAATGGAACCTCTGCCAAGTCCTCTTGGAAACAAATTCCTGCACGCACGGGATCCACAGGGCCCCGTGGAGAAGGCAGGAGAAGTGGGCTCCCACTCTGCTTAGCCAGAGCAGGTGTCCTACACTGTGAGGCTTGTTAGGGAATTTACATTTTCATCCCTAAGAACTGTAACCTGGAAACAGATTTTTGAGGCAACATTTTTGTTTGAGACAAAGTCCTGAGTCACCCCCAACTCTACCTATGGTGTAAAACTGAGACCAGATTTACCCTGGCTTGCTATTGTTGGAATGGAGTTGGGGAACCTTCCTGAGCAGCCTGAAAACCCCTCACCTGCCTTCACCTCTCTCACTCCCATGCCTTACCCAGTCACCCAGTCACCACCAGGCCATCTGTGCACATCCTTAGCGCTTCTGTGGGGAACTCCCTCCTGCCCTACTGAGTGAAATCCCCCTAACACCAGCCGTTGGAGGCTTCCCAGGAAAGGCTTCCCTATCCCCTCCCCCATACTGTCCTGTTATTTGCATCTTGGCCCTGCAGCAGATACCAAGCACTCTGAATAAGCAGAATCTGAGTGTCCAGGGTAGGGACTATGCTTGACTGCCTGAGAGCAGCATGCCCAGCCTCCCCGCAAGTGGAAGCCAGCAAGTGCAAATGGAAATGTGGGGCTTCCGAGCAGAGATCACTGCTAAAGCAGAGGTGGTCACAGACAGCCGGGAAGCTCATCATCACAGATTACATGCAGGAGACCTCCCTGGCTGACCGTATACTCGCTGAGCATTTGCTGTCTGTGGGCACAGTTCCAGGCGGTGTGATCAGCACCGAGGAAGACACAGGGGTGGGGCCGAATTCCAGACAACTCGCACCCGGGGACAAAGCTTCATCAGCTAGGAAGACTGCCCCATCTTTAACCAAGAACCCTTTCTGCTCATGGAGCTGCCGGTCCCCGTGGGGGTGGGGGGCTGTGTCCTCTCACAGCAGAACTCACAAGGTGAGTCCCCACAGTCACACAAGGTGCTCAGCCAGCAGGCACCCGGCCTGTACCCCTGCGACTGTGCCAGGCTGCTTACAGATGAGGCAAGGAATTAACACCAAGGCCAGCACACGCTGGAGCCCATCCACACTCCAGCCAGACACTCAGAAAAGGCACCACAGAGACACAAAAAGACAGAAGGGGCGGCAAAATGAATCAGCAGGCAGAGGTGCTTGCCACCAAGCCTGATGACCTGAGTTCAATCTCCCAAATCAATATAGTGGAAGAAGAAAGGCTATTCCTGCAAATTGTCATCTACACACACACACACACACACACACACGGGATGGGGATAAAAAAGATATTTTGAAAAAAAATCAAGGAAATGGGTTTTCAAACTGTGTTCTTCAAAACTAGGAATCTGCAGGAGTGTCCTGGGCCACCACCAGGGGAGAGGGGACTCAGGAATCAGGCCCTTCCTTGTCACCTTCCATCTTTGCCAGTCACATATCCATCCTGGGCTTCTCATGTTGGCTCTTGTTTGAAGAAGAATCCTGGTGGCTCAGGAAAGGCAAGAGGTTTGGCCAGAGTCACACAGTAGGACTGAAAGCCAAGGCAGACAACCATCAGACACCTGAAGTCGGAAGCCAGCCTGGGGCTCCCAAGTCAAAGCCAGAGACCGTAGAGCACAGGTAAAACAGGAAGCCACAGAAATGGGAGCCTGAAAGCAAAAGAGGGTGGAGTTGTCATGACCTGGGATGTGGAGGTCAGGGACAAATGTTCAAGGTCACATCCCACTGTCAGAGGTCAGTGAGAGCCATCCTGTAGGGGGCTGCATTCATTTGGTATTCGCTGAGCATCTGTGTGAACACAGCAAAGCCTTTGCTCCCCCTCAGCTACCTGGGGTGCAAGACAAACACGGTTAGAAGAAATAACTGCTAGCCATCTAAGCAGAAGGAAGGACTGCTTGTTGGTGGGCTGGTTCCTATGGGGTGGTCAAGGAGGGCCTCCCTGAGGAGGTGACATTCGAGCCCCAGTCTGTCTGAACCTGGGCCAGCTGCTTGGCTCCTACCCTGAAAGCCTGCAGATCCACTTTGGAAGGAGAGGCTGCCAGAGGGGCAGGAAGTCTGGCCCCCTGTAACCGTATCCCCAGGAAGGAGGAAGCCGGGACTCCGCTT